TTCAGCACAGTAGCAGATGGAGTGGTGAGGAGGCTGCCTCCCCCTCCCCCAGCACTCTCCAGTCCCCCGCTCCTGCGTCCTGCACCTTTCCCCTTTCCAGCTCGGGAGGAAGGTCCGAACGGTGGTCCAGAGCCACTCACCGCGTACTGGAATTTCTCATTGTATTCTCGGTCATTGGCCCGTGCCCTCCTTTCTTCTTCTGCAACGGAACAACACTGCAGTCAGGGGGAGCAAACTGAGGCCTGGCCCAGCAGCTGGCCAGGCGCGCCCCAGGCTGTGGGGTTTGCGCGGAGGGCCCTTGGTTCTGTGCGCAGTACAGTTTTAAGGAGTTAGCGCCACACCTGAGGTGTCACTAAATTCCTCCCTCTGGTCCACCTCTCACCACAAGCCTGATGGCTGGGCTTTGCAGGCATCACATTCACAAAACAAGATGCCTTCTTTCCTCACCAACAACCCTCAAGGTCTTCCACTGGGGGCAGGCCGTTCCTCTCCCCTCCCATTCATTAATTAATGCCTGAGGCCTGTATGGTCCTGGGAATCCCAGAGGAATAGCAACTGGAGCCAGAAGCTCCTTCCCCTGGGAACCCCCCTGCAGACCTAGCGGCAGTGGTACCGTCCTCTCCTACTGGGAGGTGGGTAGGTGGCAAGACCGAGGGTCACAGTGCCCTGGAACTGCTCTGCGGCAGTATCCCAGCCCCATGTGCAGTCCCCCCTACAGGAGCCTCTGCTTGTCACATGTCGGCAGCAGTGGCTTCTGACTGGCCTGCAATGACATCACCTAATTTTAAAGCTCATCTTCAAGTAGAAGGGGGGGTTCAGGGATATGGGTCATGCAGACAGAGACAGACATGAAGGAGAGAGGAAAACAGCTGCTCTCTAAATGTGTGCCATCTGCATACATGTCCCCTATTTAACACAGCTGTCGCGGAGGCTGTGACCCATGACCTACGCCTATCCTGAAACTCCGCCGATCTGGGACTGTCGGCACCAAGTTCAGGGACAGAACACGGGGTGTCTTAGGAAGGGTTCTCCAGCCCATCCATCTCCCAGGGTCACGTTTACCACAGGCTGAAAAGGGGGCATCCTGGTCTGGCAGTAAACATAATGCCTTAGTCCTGGAGCCAGAGCAGCATTCCACACCCCTCCCCTCGGCCATCACCCCTCACCCCTCACCCCCTCCCGAGACCCCTGCACAGCTCACTGCGGCACAAAACCTCAGACCACCACATCCTCTGCCCCAGAGCCCTTCCTCTCGGACATCACTTTACTCCCAGAAACGTCCCCGGAGGGGACCCTCGGCTGAGACCTCTGCTCAGCCGCCAAAGACCATGCAAGGGGAGAGAGAGGGACCGACCCGCCGAGCCAGGACCTCTGGGCGTGCAAGGAGAGGAACGGGGAAGGCCGGGGGCGGCTGAGGACAAGCGATGTCAGGGTGGGAGAGGGAATGATGGGCTCGGGAGAGCCGCCCGTCGCTGCCTCCCGTTACCTGTCCCCCAAGAGGGCTTCTTTCGGCTCCAGGAGGGGGGCGCCCCGGCCCGGGCCCACTTCTCCGGCATCTCCTTGGGGACTGTCATGATCCCGGTGGGAGCGGGGGAGGGCGGCCTGCTTGTGGGTCGGTCCTGGGGCTCAGTGGCGCCGATGCGGCGGCCCCCCTGGGAGGCGCAGGAGCTGCGGCCGCTCAGAGGGGAGCCCGGGCCGTCGGGCGCGCACCCCAACTGCAGCCCCGGCCATCCTCCCGGCCGCCCTCGCCCGGGGACGCCGCGCGCTCAATGACGCCGCAGCCGCGGGTCCGGACGGCCCAGCCGACACCGGAGCGGAGTGGTCCCGAGCCGCGCGCACGCCCCGGCCCCGCCCCGCGCTCCCGGCCGCCCGGCAGCCGTCCGCCAGCGCCGCGTAGGCGAAAGCCTGGCCCCGCCCCGCCTCCTGTCCGGCCAATGCGGGCGCGGGGACGACCGTGTTGCGGGGGCAACCGCTTTGGTCCCACCCCCGCCCGCCCGCCCGCAGGAAAAGTGGGACCCGGGAGGATGAGAACGGAGGGAGACAGGAGGCGTGAGGACCGAGGGGAGAGGATGGAAACAGCTCTCCCGGCCGGAGAAGAGGCTCCGGGTACCCCAAAAGAAGGCTCTGTGTGCAGGGCCGGTGGGCGGGCACTCAGCACCCTCCCAGGGAACGCACTCAGGGATCAAAGGGAAGCACGGGGTTCCCTAGGCTCCCCCAGGACGAGGCGCTCCCATCTACCCTCCTGCACACGCATCACCATTGTCCCCGCCCCTTTGCTCCCGGAGCCACAACCCCTACTATCAGGTGTCCCCGATAGTCCAGGGGACCCCCCAACTCCTGCCTGTCTTACCTGGGGGGCGCTTTTTTGCACACAGTGCCATCTCACCCAGCAAGGTCCCAGCAGTCCCATGGGAGGCCCTGCGGGAAGGTGACATGCGGGTGAGGTCGAGAGCCTGAGGGTCACCCTTCGTTCCTTTCTTCAGGCGCCTCCTGAAGCTTTCTGCGCCGGTTCTAGCCTTGCTCCTCCGTCCCCAGCCTTACCCCCCACTCCCACCAACACTCTGCTCCGATGGGTCCCTGGAAAAGGAGACTCGCTCCCCCCGTGCCCCTGCCTGGGATCACACAGCGGGGCCGACCGTTCACAAAGAGCAAGACCTGCAGGGACCGGAGGTGGCAGAGAGGGGAGGCCAGGCACTGACCGGAGGGGCACAGCTCTCACGGGACCCATCCCAGGGCAGCGGATGCCCCCAGGTGCCCTCCTCGCGGCAATGAATGGTGCCTGTGTTTACTGGAAAGCAGATTTTCCACCCGAGGGTAGGGTGGGGTTGAGGGAACACCAGCCAGGAAACACCTGGCAGAGCATCAGGAAGCAGGGTGGGCAGGCTCTACCCTTCTCACAAGTCATAACCCTCCACCCCCTCTCCCCGCTGGGGGCTGTCATGGTCTCCTCCTGCGGGGGAGCTCCCGTTAGAAGCCCGGCCTTCACGTCCTGCACACAGTCCCCACCTTCCTGGGCAAGCAAGGCTCCCCGACCCCACGAGGAGGTGCCCTCTCCCCCCCACCCCCAGCCTGTCCTGCCCGCCTGGCACTGGTGCGGGCTCCAGAGCATCCGTCAGATGGACCGCTGCGTCCTTCCGTCTCCCCTGTCCTTCCTCCCACCTGACAAGGTAAAAGTTTGGGCTTCCGAGACAGGGTCCCAGAGCCTCGCCCGACCCCCAGCCTGGTCCAGAGGACACTGCCAGCCAGTGCTGGGTCCTCCATCACCTCCTCTTTGTCTGCACGGGGCAACCCCGCCAGCCTTCGGCCCCCAGAGGTACTAATTGCCCGTCTGCCAGCCTCTGTAATCACAGACGCGGCCGCAGCCTGTCGCCCACACCAGTTGTCTCTTCGCAGACAGACGCCCTTCCTGAGCCCGATCAGGCAACGCCGAGACCCACAGCCCTCTTCCTCCCGGCCCTCCCCGGCCCTCGCCGGCTCCAGAAGGAAAACCTCATCCACATTTCAGAGATGCCAGGCCGCCCCAGGGCCCCCGGCCAGGGTCTCCACCCAGTCTAGAGGGTGAGTCACGGAGGGTGGGGTGTGAAGGGGACCGTGAGGACAGGGTGCAGGGTGCAGGGTGGGCGCCTCCAGGCCCCAGCCGGCCCCACCCTTCCCAGGAGGCCGGCCAGACGCTCTCAGCCCGCAGGTCTGGGTTCGAGTCCTGCCGAGTTCAGGAGGGAGCGGCACCGCTCTGGGGAGCCGGCAGCCTGGACACTGGCCGGGGAAGTGGCTCAACCTCCAGGGCCCCGGGGAGACCGGACCCCGTCCCCTACGGGGGCTGTGCTGGGAGGGGAGGGAGGGGAGACCGCGGACAGGGGCTCTTCCTGCCCCGGCCCGGCCCGGGCCCCTCCGCAGCCTCGTTGGGGATAAAAATAGCCGCCTCTGGGAGGGAGGCAGAGCTCCACCGAGGAAACCCTCCTCCTGGGCCTGGCCCGCTCCCTTCCGCCCATCCCGAGCCCGGGAAGCTGGCGGAGGGGACAGGGGTCTGGAGGGCCGGGCAGGGGACCCCCCGCCACCTGCCGCCACCCCGGGACGGAACCGGGACTCGCCGCCCAGCCCGCCCCCCGCCCCGGCTGCTCCTCACCCCCTCCCGCCTCCGGGCCCCGAGCCCGGGACCGCGCTCCTCGGCCCCCGCTTTGCGCAGCGCCCCGGCCCCGCCGCTCCCCCGGCCCCATCCCGGCGCCCCGCGCCCCGCCTCTCCGGCCACCTCCTCCGGCCCCGGCTCGGCCGTCCTCCCGCATCCCCGCCCGCCCCCGGCCCCGCGCCCGGCCTCACCTCAGCGCTCGGCGCTCGGCGCCCGCCCCGGCGGCCCCGTCCTGCCCATGCCGGGGGCTGGGGCGGGGGCGCTCGGCTCGGCTCCCCGCGGGCTCCCGCCCCCCAACTGCTGCCCCGCTCCCCCCGGGGCCTCGGCCCGCTACTTTGTGTCAGTTTCGGCCACGGCGGGGCGGAAGTGACGGCGGTGGCGGGAGAGGCGGGGGGCGGGAGTGGGTTTTGGGGAGAGGGCGGGAGGCGGGAGCCGCCATCTTGGTGCCGGGCAGGGGGGTCCCGGCCCCTCGCGCCCCGCCCACGGCCGCCGCCGCGTCAGGAAGCACCTAGGAGGCGAGAGGTCTGAGACTCGCTTTATGCGGAAGGAGGGGCTGGGGAGCCGTCTTCTCGGCTAGAAGGTCCCCTTCGGGGGGCCGGGGGGCCGGGGAGGGAGTCCCCCGGCGCCGGGCCCTTCACCCGCTCCTCCCCTGCCGCCCGGGTCTCCTCCGCTCGCCCGGCTCAGCTCCTGGATGGCGGCCCGTCCTCGAGTGACAGCCGGACCGTCTCCGCATCGGGGTGCCTCCTCCCCTTCGCCTCGCTCCCCCCCCCCCCGCCCGGTCTCGGGGCGCTTGGATGTCTGTGTCCCACGGCCAGCCCCCCACCCCGGCCCCTTGGTGGAGGCCGCCCCCCCACCCCGTACCTTCTAAGAGGAGGGGGAGCTAATGCAGGGGCGGAGGCGCCGAGGGTAGGGGCCTGGGAGTCAGACAGTGGGACCCAGGTTCGGAGCTAGTCCCCACCACCCGGCAGATTTCTGGCTTCCCCAGTCCGGCGTCCGGGGGGCGCACCCCCTGGCGGCCGCAGGGAGGACTGCGTTCCTGGGAGCCCGCAGGGTCCCCAAAGGGGCTTGTGGGACCTCAGGCTCCTCCCGGGCGGTCTCCCTGTCCCGGCGTCCGCCCCAGTTTAGGGGAAGCGATGCTTAGATGAGTAAACACAGAAGCTGCGCAGGGCCTGGTGCCTTAGTCCAGAGAAAGAATGTCGTGTCTCCAGGTCTGGGTCTCCGGCCCTCTTCAGTGTCCATGAGGGAGGTAGGACTGTTGGGGCGTCTGAGTTGAGGCAGGAGTTTCCAAGTCTTTATACTGGGCAAGCACTAGACCCTGAGCCGGTTCTGAACTCTCAGGGTGGTGCAGAGCCACCAGAAGTTGGTAAGTGGCTGTGCCAAGGGTGGCCCCCACCATAGGGGCCAGCACAGGCACCCACCACCAGCCATTACCGGCGCTGCAAGAGAAGGACAAAAGGGAGAGATGAGGGTGACCCCCCAGTCTTGCCCCAGAGGACTGGAGGCAGTAACAAGAGAACTCCCTTAAGCAGTTCCTGGGTGGTAGACGCCAGGAAAAGGAAAAGGGGTCAGAGAGGAGGAGTCCCAGGAGGGCTTATCCAGCCTCTTGCCTTAGGTAATTATCTGAATATCCCCGTTTTGTTGATGAGGTCACTGATACCCAGAAAGGCCATATGCATCCCAGAACACGACCTCTAAACCTTACTGTTTCCGTGAAAAGGGTTGGGGGAGCGGCAGAGCAAAAGGGAGAACTGGGGCTTAGAGGAGGAACACTGACCTAAGAAGCTAAGAACTATTTAAGAGGAGAATACTTAGGCTGGGAACCCAGGGGCAGAGCCTTTAGCAGAGGGAGGTTGAGTGGAGGGACAGCACCAGGGGAAGCTGGCCCGCACCTGAAGACTTCAGGGCCCCAGCCGGCCACGTAGGTGAAAATCCGTGGGCCCAGGTCCCGGGCAGGGTTGAGTGGGTATCCACAGTTGGCACCCATGGAGAGCCCGATGGCCAGGATCAAAAGGGCCACTGCCATGGGCTCCAGACCTGCAGGCACTCCCTTGTTCCGTGTGTCCAGGATGGCCAAGATCCCCACAATCAGGACCGCAGTTCCCAGAACCTTAGAGTGGACAGATGCAAAGGATTCCGATCAGCTGGCAGATAATCCATCTGCCCTCTCTCACCCAAATAGTACAGGCACCACCTTATGTCATCTGACTGTCCTATACAGGCAGCTGGGGCGGGGGATAGTGCAAAAGACAGACATAACCCCCACATCCCATCGGACCCAGAGACTTAACAATAGGTTATAGTGCCAGAGGTCAGGGACAAAGGTCACTACCAGGTCTGTCCCTCACACCTACCTGATCCAAGAAGCCATTGTTCAGGGACAAATAGGGAGCAGGGTAGGTGGCAAAGATGGAAGCTGTCTCCTTGGGGCCAGTCACTGTCAGGTTCCCACCTGTATAGTTCTGTAGGGCATCTGCAGGGGAGGGGAACACCCAGGATTTCCATCTTTCTCATTCAAAACCATTCCAAGGCACCCCTGCCCACACACAGACACCCCAAAAGTTGTTCCCTCTGTTACCATAGTAGAGAGCATAAGTGGCTCCAGAGGCGCAGAAAGCAGACAGTATCTGCACCAAGGAGTAAATGGGGAGCTTGGCCCAGGGGAGGCGTCCCAGGAGGCACATGGCCAGGGAGAAGGCTGGATTCAGGTGAGCCCCTTCAAGGATCAAGAAAAGAAAACCAACATCCATTAAGCGTCACTGCCAGGCACTCACCAGGTAACATTGGCACTCGCCCCCGCAACTCTGAAGACAGGTGTTACCATTCCCAGCAGGTAAGTTAGGAAAGTGAGGCTCAAGGTTAAGCAACTTGTCAAGGTCCCACAGTGAGCCTGGGACTGACTGCTCTTTCCCCTACAGTGCCTGTGTCTCCAGGCTCCAGCCAGACACACCGATGCTTCTGGGGGATGGCAGGTGAGGTCTTGAGCAAAGGGAACCCCAGAGGGCTTCAGGTGGGAAACACTAGCCCAGTGGTTCTCAACCTTCCTCATGCCACGACCCTTTCGTACAGTTCCTCATGTTGTGGTGACCCCCAACAATAACATTATTTTCATTGCTACTTCATAACTGTAATTTTGCTACTGTTATGAATCATCATGTAAATATCTGATATGCAGGATGCATTTTCATTGTCACAAATTGAACATAATTAAAGCATAGTGATTAATCACAAAAACAATATGTGATTATATATGTGTTTTCCGATGGTCGTAGGCGACCCCTATGAAAGGGTCATTCGACCCCCAAAGGGGTCGCGACCCACAGGTTGAGAACCGCTGCTCTAGAGGATAGCACTTACCCTTCATACTTTGCTATATATCTCGAAGTGAGCAAAGAATTAATGTGAGGAAGAGGGATGGAGAGATGTGGAAAGGGGAGGGGCTGGAATGGGCCAAAGGTATATGTGGGGAGCCTGCACGGCCATGGCATACTCAGCCCCAGGGCGCCTTATGTGCCACGCCAGCTCAGCCTGGTTCAGTGACCCTGAGTGGGAGGGGTGAAAGGATTGAGAAAAGACAGACAAGAGAATGAAAGCTGGGTCTCGGTGGGACACTGCTCCCTGATGAGGAGACAGCGCCAGTGCCCACAAGCCATGTCTTTATTTTATAGCAGATGCCACGAGGCAAAATAGGGGCGTGATCAAGTTGTTTACAGCATTCTCACTCAACTACATGCACCCGAACTCTATCACAAGGCACATGGGGCCACGTGTTTGGACCATAGGTTCAAGCTTACAGCCACAGCCGTTGGCTGTGATTGTGCTGGGAGGGCCCTGCCCTTCCAGCTGGGACTTGCACGTGGCAATGAGAGGACCCTGTCCTTTCATTACTCCGAGGCTTGAACCTAACCAAAACACTGCAGCCGCGCCCCACAGGTATATCTCAGTCCAGGGCACTAATCAAGCTCAAAAAGATAATGTCCATGAGTCACTTTTTCCTCGATAACCATACATCCACACTCACATGCATATCCTGCATGTCTAATAATCAGACCCCTCCCTCCTTACCGGAGACATTACCACCCACGTAGATGGCGACCATCACAGCCAAAGCGCCAGCCAGAAACATGGTGAAGAAGTTGCCTTTAGTTTCCTCACTGGTGACAGCCTGGGCCACAGCCCCTTGGGTGATGAGCTGGTGGGGAGAGGAAAGATGAGGAGCAGAGAACCAGGACTAGACAGCCTGGTGGACCTACAGGGGAGAGAGACTGGGAAGGTGAGGGGAATGGCCAAGAGAGGTAAACTCTGAACAAATGTGAGGGAGCAGCAAGGAAGGAAGGAAAGCAGGCAGAGGGAAGGGAAAAGAATGGGAGAAGTGAAAAAAAAAGTTAAGAAAGGGAAGGAGGGTGAGCTTGAAAGGGAGAGGAATAGGGGGAGGTCAATCTGGGGAAAAGGAGACATATGTAAAACTTTAGACAATATAAAAAAAGAAAGAAAGGGAGAGGAATAAAAATCAGGAAGTAGAGGAATACAAGAGACAAGAGGAGGGCAGAAAGAGGAATGATGGATAGTTGAAACAAGACGCCGGGGAAAGAGATAAGAACACCACAGATTAACAATAGCTTTTGCCCACCTTCTGTTCCCTTCCCTCAAGTACCCTGCCTACCATGAGCACAAACACACCCAGAAACTCTGCCAGGCACTGTCGGGCCAGGAGGCTTCGGATCCGGAGCCAGCCCTTGACTTCTGCCAGGAGCTGCATAGGGGCCATGGTGAGGACACCCTGTCTCTGGTTGCCGCTCCCTCTGTCTGCATAAGCACGCTGCTACTTCACTATATGTCTGCCCGGGGAAAAGATAAGGAAAAGACTTTAAAACCAATTAGCTCAGCTCTGGAACAGTGGCTAGTGTGTTTGCACGTACGTGTATAGAGAGGATAGAGATAACGAGAGAATGTCCCCATGTAAGCAGGCTCCGTGCATGACCAGGGCCTGGAGTTTGCCCAGGGGCCGCCATCTTCTCTGTCTCTCAGGAGTAGCCTCTTCCTATGCTGATGGATTGCGTGGCAGGATTCCAAAGAAGCCCACCCAGCACCATCTTGCAAAACCAGACGCTTTCTAGGTACCAACAGGGGCCACTGTGCCCCACTGGCTTCTCATTTCGCACTGAGTGGACTTGAGTGAGAGTCTTGGAATTCTGGATCTCCTTATTTTAATTAATTAATTTTTGTTAATCCTCACCCAGGATATTTTTCCATTGATCTTTTAGAAAGAGTGGAAGAGAGAGGGAAAGACAGAGGGAAACATTGCTGTGATAGAAACACATCGATTGGTTGCCTCCTGCATGGGCCCTAACTCAGGCATATGCCCTTGGCGGGAATGGAACCGGGATCATTAGTAAGTCTGCCTTCAGAGTACGGGATATGCACTCCACACCCGGGTATTTCCCGGGTGATAGGGCACCTGCCTATTGTGCTGCTCAGACAACTGGGCAGCCCAGAGACTAGCAGAGATGATCCTAAGTCTTGGCTCAGAATATATCTGTCTCTCGGTAGGCGGGGAGCCAGTCCACAGTACCTCGAGATACCCCTTTTGGGATGCGTATTTGCCAACTGGGAGAAACTTGACCCTGAGTCCCTCAACACAGCCTAGCCCCACAATAAAGTGAGCAATGGAGAGGTTTGGCCACCTAATGGCACCATTGAGTTTAATTCCATCCTGCAGCTAGAGCTGTTTTTGCTGTTCCCAAGGGAAGTGGATAGAGGATGAAGCCTCCTGAGATCAATGTGCCTTTTCCATACAGCCAAGCCTTTATGGCTTTCAAAAATGACCCTCATGCCTTAAGCTGGTTTGGCTCAGTGGATAGAGCGTCAGTCTGCAGACTGAAGGGTCCCAGGTTCAATTCCAGTCAAGGGCACATGCCTGGGTTGTGGGCTCAATCCCCAGTAAGGAATGTGCAGGAGGCAGCCAATCAATGATTCTCTCTCATCATTGATGTTTCTATCTCTCTCACCCTCTCTCTTCCTCTCTGAAATCAATAAAAATATATATTTTTTAAAAAATGACCCTCAGCTATGTGGTAAACTAGATCTCTCTGTAATTGCTACAGAGCCTGAAAAAAAATATATACCCAAATGTAAAGAAACATTCCAAAAATGGATGAATGAATTTGTCAATCCTTTGCTAACATTTGTCAATCCTGGAGGTATTAAAAACTACTGTTTTGCCGAAACCGGTTTGGCTCAGTGGATAAAGTGTCGGCCTGTGGACTGAAAGGTCCGAGGTTCGATTCCGGTCAAGGGCATGTGCCTTGGTTGCGGGCACATCCCCAGTGGGAGATGTGCAGGAGGCAGCTGATCGATGTTTCTCTCTCATAGATGTTTCTAACTCTCTATCTCTCTGCCTTCCTCTCTGTAAGAAATCAATAAAATATATTTAAAAAAAAAAAAACTACCGTTTTGTCCTAGCTGGTTTGGCTCAATGGATAGAGTGCTGGTCTGCGGACTAAAGGGTTTCGGGTTCGGTTCCGTTCTTGGGCACATGCTCGGGTTGCGGGCTCGATCCCCAGTAGGGGGCGTGCAGGAGGCAGCCCATCAATGATTCTCTCTCGTCATTGGTGCTTATCCTTCTTTCTCTTCTCTCTTCCTCTATGAAATAAAAAAATATATATATTTAAAAAAACACCCACTGCCCTTGTTTCACAAAGTTTTTACAGGGCCAGAGGTGTGGCTCCAAAACATCAAAGCCCACTAAGTCCTTTTACATTCCCCAAATCTCCAGTATTCAACTCAAAAGGCTTATAGGTAGTTGACTTTATGAAACCCAGTTCCTTCTAAGTGGAATTTACATTTCTTTCCCAGTATCTTTGAGAGGCAAACACCTGGTCTTCAAGAACTCTTATCTGAGCCATTTCTTAAAATGCAAGTAGCAGGGAGTTAGTCCTATTTGCAGATGCTTTATAAGACAATGCTCATCCCCTAAAGCAGGGGTGGTGAACATCCATATAAGGCCTGAGAAATCATTTGGTCTGGCCCTCCAAGGCAATAGGGGTAAATTAATTAAATGTTTGACCAAATATAGCAAGCTGATTTTTAAGTTGATAATTTTGTATGGCCTGCGAATGTTATCAATATCTAAATGCCCCTTGGCAGAGGAAAGGTCCCCCACCCTGCAAGGATCTATTTCCATCTGTTTTCCTGGCAATAGGACCAAAAACAAGAATCAAATTCTAGCAAAGCTCCAAAGAGGATGTCTGACCCACTAAGAGAGGGAATATACACTAAAGGCGTTTCAAGATCTGGCTAATATGTTTGTACCTGCATAATTTGGTAACATTATTCATGAAACTGGATACCTAGAGTGCTGGATCAGAGGAGGTGGGACATAAAGATAAATATGGAAAAAGTTACTGATATAGGAGCACTCTCCTGTGACGTAGGATTTAAATTCTGGCAAGATCCCTGGAATATGAATACGGGGTGAATACACTTCTAGTGTTGTAACATACCTTGCGAATCACACAAGGACGCCTCAAGAAGTTGAATTAAGGAGTCACATTTATTGCAAATGCAGGACTACGAGGGGGCATTTTGCTCTCTCAAATCTCATAGTGATGCCCTGACTGGTTTGGCTCAGTGGATAGAGTGTCGGCCTGCAGACTGAAAGGTCCCAGGTTCGATTCTGGTCAAGGGCATGTACCTTGGTTGCAGGCACATTCCCAGTAGGGGGTGTGCAGGAGGCAGCTGATCGATGTTTCTCTCTCATCGATGTTTCAAACTCTCTATCCCTCTCCCTTCCTCTCTGTAAAAAAATCAATAAAATATATTTTAAAAAATTAAAAAAAAATCTCGTAGTGATTAAGTAGCTACAACACCAGATTTATATAGGCAAAAATCACAAAGGTATCGATTACATCTTTGGGTTTGGAATGAGGAACCTGGTTTGCACAAAGCAGTTACAGAAGCGAAATTGAGCCGATTAGTTATCTACAAAGATTAATTATAGTTTTGGGTCTTCGGACCACTGAGTTGACAGAAACACATTATCTAGAGCCCTCGGGTCTCGGGGCCACTGAGTCAACGGAAACACATTATCTGTGGCCACTGAGGCAATTTAGGATAATTGTGCTGTCCTGGTTCCCAGGTACAGAAGGATGTGCTTTCCAAAACCAGTGAGATCACAATCAGTGGGACATTCAAACCACCAACATCGGAGTATTCAATCGGCTGGGACAGCATACACAAGTTCAGAAAATCAAAGTAACTTTTCTATTGTTAAACAAAGCAAGTAAGTACAGAAGCCAAACAACAGGGTTAAAGTTAAACTACAGTATCTACCTGAGATGACTGCTACCATACTTCACTAGGATGGTCCTAGGTTTGGAGAAAAGGATGGCCCACACAAAGGAAGGTAAAAATGCCAGGACAAGTCATTTATGTTGATGACCATATTGAAAAGAGGGAGAATCCTCAGACCTTTTGAGGATTTTTGGACAAAGGATCTGAATTAACACTGATAGTTGACAACCCAAAGTTATCCCATTGTTACGGAAAGATCGGAGAAGAACCAAGCAAAGCTTAGAGAGATGGAGTTACATTTATTACGCGCGGGCCCAGAGGAAAATGTCTCTCAAATTCTGGGTGAAATCACACATGAAGTTTCCCATATTTTATACGATTTTACTTTCTTTGTCTCCCAAATATGGGGTTATTCCGGTTCCCTTTGCAAGTTCTTAAAGGGCTCTATGTGCTGGGGCTTTGAGACCTCGACCAAAGGCTTGGCCTGACGCCAGCACTGATAACTTCGTCTGGGGAAGGTTTAATGGCCTCTCTGAAATGGGAGTACTTTTATTTTCCTTATTATTTAAGCCAGCAAGCATTTACAGAAGCCAGAAATAGCAGGGTTAAAATTTCAAACAGCAGTTTTTATATCAGATGGATGCTTCACCATGGTCCCTTGTTAGAGTAGGGCAGGGGTGGGCAAACTTTTTGACTGGAGGGCCACAATGGGTTCTTAAACTGTACCGGAGGGCCGGAACAAAAGCATGGATGGAGTGTTTGTGTGAACTAATATAAATTCAAAGTAAACATCATTACATAAAAGGGTATGGTCTTTTTTTTTTAGTTTTATTCATTTCAAACGGGCCGGATCCGGCCCGCGGGCCGTAGTTTGCCCACGGCTGGAGTAGGGGCATATAGGGCTCAGATAATAAATGGAGTCCAGTTCAGGTCTGGTTCACCGAAACCATGGATCCACCCAGTAGTCACTTCCCCATGTATACATATATCATACAACTGAAATGGATATCCTTTGATGTTGCAGAACACTCAGTTTGGTTTCTGGACCCATGGAGTAAGTGATAAAGGCCAAGTGGAGGCCTGAAACTGCTCCACACCAAAATAATAAAAACTTAAAACGACCATATCCTAGGAAAAATGGAAGAGATTAGCACCACCCTCCAAGACTTACAGGAGAGCCCAGGCAGGCTTGATCTCCAGTGGGGGGCAAGCAAGAGGCAGCCAGCAAGAGGCAGTCAATCAATGATTCTCTCTCATCATTGATGTTTCTATCTCTATCTCCGTCTCCCTTCCTCTCTGAAGGCAATTTAAAAAAAAAACTACAGGAGAAGTGGCCTCTTTTATACCACCAGCTTGGCTCCTACAAAAACTGAATAGATCATGGCAGGGGGCAGTGGTTTACCGTAAAATGGAAGAGAGTAAATTACCAAAGAGTAAATCCAGCCCTAGCAGGTTTGGCTCAGTGGATAGAGTGTTAGCCAGCAGAATGAATGACCCTGGGTTCAATTCCAGTCATGAGCACATACCTCAGTTGCAGGCTCGAT